AAAAAAAAAAAAAAAAACAATATCAAATGAGATAAACCATCTCCCATGCCCAACCTTTGCAAAGGTGCTGGATAAGGAGCTGCACCTTCTTTTAATGTGCATTTTCCCAATTGCAGGGGGAGGTTGGACAGTTTTTCATGTTTATTGGCCATCTGCCTCTTTTGTGAATTGCTGCTTTATTTATGGCCGATGTCATTCAGTTGACATGACTGTCCTTTCTTTGATGAAAAGGGAGAATTTGCTAAATATTCTGAAAGGTATATACTCTCCTTGTCTTTGAACTCTGTTTATGATGACTTTATCTTGTTAAAGCTGACGATGTACAATATAGACTTATTATAGTATTGACTTTATGAGCTAGATGCACCCTTGTTGTTATAAATAATTAAAGTGAAACAGAAAAATTACTGATGAATTCCATGCATACTCTTGAACCACAGTTTTTGTGTTCTGAAGATGGCGGATTCAAGTCTATCTTCGTTGCACAGGAAGTTTCTTCTCTCACATCTCAAAAACGTTTCCTTTTTCAATTTGGGGGCCAAACGATTCTTCCACTGAAGCAATGCTAGCCTTCACCGCTTCTATCTGCCCCCTAAATTTTCACCTCTTTCACTTTTTAACTTTCTGCTCAGAATGGTGGTCTCAAACTTTTCTCCCACAATTATTTTTTAGTCGCTTTTTCATTTCTTGTTATTTCTATTTTTTGTAAAGTTGGTTGTGTTTTTTTTTTTTTTTTGGTGGGGGGACAGATGAGGTATCTGAATTTGTATCTAGATCTCTGCAGGCTCCACTGTAAGCTACATTTTGTTTTTTGTTATATATATATATATATATATATATACCATCCCATCTTCAGGCTCTTGCTTGATTGATTGAGGCTTTTGGATGATTGTAAGTGCTTTGGGGATTTTTTCTTCATCCCCTGGGTTGTTCTTCCAGGTTGATTCTGTCAGCAGTTTGGTTTCAGTGTTTCAGTGCTGTTTTTACTTGCTTTCTCTCAGGCCTGTGGTGGTTTTATAGCCTATGTCACTCGTGATGGACCCCCTCCCCCAACCTCCGCTATACACAGACTTAATCTGGGTGAATGTTTTTTCCCCCCAAATGTCTCATCTTATCTGAGACTGAATTGCTTCCCATCTGATCTACAGTTGAAAGGCTCTAATTTGATTCTTATCAAAAATTTTTTTTTTCCTGAGGAAACTTATTAGTTACACTATCCTTTTCCCCTGCTGATCTGCAACACCACTGTCTTCACTACTCAGCGGTCTTGTATGCAGGGCCCATTTCAAGGGCTCTCTCTTCCAGCATTGGCCTGCACGAGCCTTTTCTTACTCCCCACGCACCACATTGTCATTGTGACCACGACTTCAGATGAACTTTTGATATCTGTGGCAGTAAATCTTCTTACCTTCTTTTCTTCCAAAGTGGCTTGGTCCTTTGCGTCTCCAAATTGGCTTGTCAATATCTTGCCAGGAATTCATTTAGGTCGCGTTGAATCTATAGATCAGTTTGCAGAGGACTGATACCTTTACAACATTGTGTCTTCTATCTCATTACTGTGGTATATGCGTATTACTAATTAAACTAGATTTTCTAATAAAAATTATATTTCTCTCTATAGAGGTCTTATACTTCTGCTAGATTTATTCATAGATACTTGACATCTTTATATCAAATCTACATAATTTAAAATAGGCTGTCTAGCTGCTTGTAACAAAGATACAAAAATAAATGAAAACTTTGCCAAATTCTTTTGAATTCTAATGACTTATA